AAAGAAATAATAGGTTTAAAAACCTTCTTAACAAGTCTGAAATCAAATTTTTATATATTGCCTTTATTTATAGATAATACAGACTAACTGAGTCTATTTTAATAATCCCTAAAATATGCTGATCTAAAACTTACTTCTTGAATAGATGAAGGGAAAGAGACACATAAATTCCAGAGCTAGAGAAATATCAGTGGCATTCATCTAAAAGATTAATTAAATATACAAATATTTTATCTTTTGTTAAAAATGTATGTTTATTCCTTTATCTCTAGTTGATTAGAGTAGATAATTTATGTATCTTTACCTAAAATGGGTAAAGAAGTTTGGCCTTTTCAGAGTGTTCAGTGTACTCATTTAAGCTCCAGCTTTGTTGGTTTGAATGAAGTTTGTGAATTTTTGTGACAGTAAGCCAGTAATTATTATGCATGGAGGACCCTAGTAGAAATGCAATATTTTGTACTAATTGTGAACAGAAAGATCTGTAATACTGGCTGCATGATTTGCCCCTTACATGTGCTCAGCTATAATGATCTGAATTTAGTACTGCATTTGTTAATATTAGACACAAATTTATCCTGGCACTTTTATAGGCAAAGCCTCGGAAACATTTAGTCATGTAAAATATAATCATAGTCTTGAAATATTTGCTTTTGCTCTCATGCATTATAGGCAGGATTTTACTTTATAGGCTTATCTGTATTGCTGAATAAGGAGAATGGTTTGGAGAGGTTATTTGGGGCCTTGATCATGAGATAGGTGTTAGTTTACCAGGCACACTTATCAAACGCCAGTTGTTCATGTAATGTGAATATTCCACTTCTCTATATGCTCTTCAGTTCTTCCTATCATTGTGAACAGACATTGTTTTTCATTTGCATCCCATTTCCAATGTCTGTTGCCCGACATTTTAGACTTGAGGGCAAATAAAGTGGCTTGTGGTCTAAGTAAAATATTTTGTGTCAGAATAAAATAGCACTCTATTATGTAAAGGGCACAATGCCCCCATGTGTTCACCTTATAACTACATGAACCAGGCTTGTATAAAAGCTTTGAAAAAAATCCCATGGCTATCATATCCATAAGTCTTTCCGACCCATTCAGACAGATGTTAGTATATTACTTGGAGCATATTATAAAACTTACCTTTCACTTATGGAAATTTGCTTCAACTTTGTTTCCCCAAAGCAAATACAGAGACCATAAGACATGAGATAATAATAGACCTTTGGACAAAGAGACATAAAGTGAAATGTATGAGCCCTTGAAAGAGCAATTAAATACATTTTCATTTCAACAACTGAAGATGAGGAACCAAAACAGATGGGCAGGGGGTAGAATAGATGAGAGAAAAATCAGTATTCATCATGGCTCTTGGCATTTCAGCTCAGCAATTTACTCGGCAGTATATCACAGTAAATCAGCTCTAGTTCTGCATTCCAGTCACTAGTTTATTCTTGCATGAAGCAAAAACTGAGAAAGCTGTGGATATTTCTGGAAACATCCATATTATTATCAACCACCTGACTCAAAATCTTCTTGGAAATAAGTTATACATTGTATATCAATTAGAGAAGAAGGTTCTTGAAGAACAGATCACCTTGGAAATCATGATGAGATATCATATGATTAGTTATCTTTCAGAATCTTGAAACTGAAAACTAAAAGAACAAGTTACTTGCTTACATTCTGAGAACATCTTCCAAAAATACAACTTCACTAAAATCAAATGGGACTTGCCTGGGCTCAGTGAAAAAGAAACATTTATATTTATACAAATACTTGTCCTTGACTTATGAATTGCAAGTTGGAAATCTCTGGCTTGGAACCACACTCAAAATCATTCCTGTAAACTTTGGGAAGTGCATTGGTCATCTGTGTTGTCACTCCAGAATTTACAATGACAGCTGTGTACAGGATAGCTTTGTGATTCTGGAGATGGACAAATTAGACGAGGTCAGTCGCCTGGGTCTTTGGTTGCCATGAGTTCCCAGATGGCCCCATTCACCCAGTAGAAACTCAGCTGGTGGCCAGCCGGCCAGCCCTTCTTTCTGCCATATTACTCCTCTCTCAAAAAGGCTGACCTAGGATTGTACTCAGGAAGTGAAGATTCAAATGCATGGAAGCAAAAACTATAAAACCCTTGAGGCTGAAGCTTAGATGTCAAAAAATGTCCCTCTATCACTTTCTGTTGATATGTTACAAAGCCACCCATATTTGAGATGAAAAGAAGTAGAATTGATCTCTTACAGGGAGCAGCAACACGGAAGTTGTAACCATTTTTAATCCTCCCCAGCAATGACCATTGCTTTGATCTGGTCAGCAGCCTAAAGGTGTCGTGTCTTCCCTGGAAATGTTTTGTGCTTACTTTCTTCTCCCCCATCTTTCATTCCAGTATATCTTTCTGGGTTAACCCTGAAGAATGATACCCTCTAGCAGACATCAGCATAGGTATCTTTCTTCAGATCAGTCCCTGGCTCCCCAGTCATAAGACTTATTTCTCTCTCTCTCTAATTGGGCTCAACTTCTTATTAAATGCCTTGCATATCTGTGTGTCAAACATACCACTGTTACATGCAGACATTCGTGTTTGGCCAGGATCTTCCCCAATCTTCTTGCCATCTCATGAACTTGAGTTCAGGCCATCCTCAAATACTGACTTTTGCCATTGTTAGTCCAAAATATTTTCTTGTTCTTCTTTCACAAAGTTATGAATATACAAATATTTATTGAATGTTGGCTGTGTTTCCTAGGCACTGTGATCAAGGTGTTTTAGGTCTTTCTCGAGTAAGAAAAAAACACTATAAATATGTAAGCAATGAAATACAGCAGCTAGTACAAGCACGAGCATTAATATAATAAAACAAAGGGGATGCAGGAGCAACTGTTGAGTAGTTCAGGTAATGGTAACTTCAGAACCATCAGGGCCTTCTCTGAGGAAGTCACACTTGAATCTTGACCTGAACACCCAGGAGCCAGGTGGATGAAGGTTAAGAGTCCTGGGTAGAGAAGACAGCAAGCAAAGTGACCTCCTCTGAATCCTTCCTCTCCTTAGCCCTGAGCATCCGCACCATTTATTATTTGGCCCAGTGGTCCTAAACCCTGGCTACAAGACAGAATCAATCATCTGGGGTCTTTTTAAATATGTACAAATGCCTGGATCTTACCACAGACACTGCAAATAAGCGTCTCAGGAGAAGGGAAGGGGAAAGGCCCAAGTACCTGTATTTTACAAATTCCTATGTCATTCAATGTGCAGCCCAAGTTGGGAATCACTGATCTTCACACTTTTCCACTTTCATGTGCGTTGACCACATGGAACCTTTCTCGGTGGCAGACTGCACATTCTAATGATGTCCCGGGCTGCACCAAGACTGCCGCCCTGGTTGGTACTCACAGCGTGGTACACAGAGGAGCCGTATCAAGCACGCAATGGAAGTGGTTGGGAAAGCACATTCTCAGGCCAAGGATCAGACTCTGGGAAATGCAGTCACCTCATGAGGCGGAAACCTGGTGTGTGGCCCAGTCCTGTGTGATTTCAGGAAGTCCTTTAAGTGATTCTGAGGCCCAGCGTAGGTAAAACGCCAGCCTGTGGATCTTAGTGTTTAGACATGGTCAATTTGGTCCTTAATTGTATCCCTTGCTGTGTTTTCTGTAGTCGTTTTGTGTAGATTAGTGTGTTGGAGCTTGCACTGCACAAGGGAATGGACCACCTCTCTTCCTTTTACTTAGTTTCGATGAAGTGCAGATTTTCTTCGACTCTGGTTGGAAGAGTAAGAATCACAGCTCTAGTCCCAGACCTGTGCTCCCACCTCCCAAGCCTCTGGTTTGCTCAGCTTGTGAAGCATTGGGAGCCTGCAAAGCCCTGCAGGTGATTCTCCAAGGCTGCAGGTGTCACCTGTGAGGAGCTGTTTCATTAAGCGCCCTGCTGGGGCAGTTTAAGCCCTGGGAAGGGACATTGTAACTCACCTCTAACTGCTGTCCTATCAAAAAAATCACCCTCTGTACTACTTCTCTTTGTTTATAAGCTTCTGTTAATGGTTTTCTCTCCATTAAGCCACTCAAGGGAGTGCTATTTAGGGAACTAATTGAATTCTTGCCAGTTTTGGGCATGATCCAATGCTGCTCCGGATCTCAGTATTGGCCATGTTATGTATTTTCCTCTCTTCTAATGCCTGCATGGTTTTGATACCTCTATCAGCAGAACACAAGATAGAAAGTGTAACTGCGTGCATGCATTCATGCATGTGATAAATACGGCCACACATGCTCCTTTGGTAAGAAGATACATCTTGTTACCCCACAACACAAAACCAAAAATTGCCAAGTGAAATATCTATTTTTTCAGTCCCTCCAAAGAATCAATGTTAATCGTAGAAATCACACTATTTCTGAGATTTGTTTCCTAATAGGGAGACAATGCATTTTTCTGTCTCTCAATTCTACTACCAGCTGTTCTCCAGCACCATCAAATTTGCATAGTTCCTCTTTCTAATTATTGGAAAGATCAGATGTACAGTATTTGTTTTAAGTAGCATCTTGGGTACTTACAAACAAAATGAAACTTTTGTGAGCCTTGGCAGTTGTTTATCTATGATACTGGATAAGGTTAATCTTCAGGGTTAGGATTTGTAGCTGTACTGAATTGTGAGTGATAAAAGCTAAAGAATGTGTTGGCTAAAAAAGAAATGTTTTTACTTTGCTATTTTGTGCTTCCCCTCTCCTTTACTGCTTTTGCATTCTTGCATTGATTCCCTCTCTTTGGTGCTTCTACAGAATCCTCCTCTATGTTTCAGGCTCTGGGTGACAGGCATACCTCTTATTTGGTTGTTTCGTCTTTTTCCCCATGTCATCCATTCAGGAGCATTAATTATCTGAGATGAGTAGCACCATCTTTCACTGAGTTATGCTTAGGCCATAAGCTATTTCATAGCTGAAGTCTTTGAACATCTGGCTGGGCTGGTTGGCAGGAGTAAATATTCTCTGTCGTTCTGCTCTCACAGTTTGTGGAGACGAATGTACCGGCCTTCTCCTCGGTGACCTTGCACGCCTGGAGCAGATGGCCATGAGAATCAACCTCACTGGCCCACTGCCTGCACCATACAAAATCCTGTATGGTCTGGAAAATATGACTCAGGAGCTAAAGGTAGGTTGCTGCACAACAGCAAGAGCCAAGGCCTGAGCAACAGAAGTTTCCCAAGCTGTATTGGCCATAATCGATAACTGCTTTCCCCATGGCCCCAGATCGATCGAGGGAAGCAGCTGTTCGTGATGTCCAGAGACTTTCTAACCCATGATTTTTCAAACTTGAGCACTATAATATAGAGACTGCTATTAAAGGAAAAGAGTCTCATGCACTGCCCACTATTAGGCCTAAATTAGTTTTATTATGTGACTTTAAACTGTACAAACGTAAAATCAGGTACTCCTTATACTTATAGCTCCATAAAATCAAAACAAATTAATCCTCACAAAAGCCTACGAAACCGATAAAATTCAAATTAAAAACATTAATCTAAGGTAATACGATTTTGCCAAAAGTAAATTGCTTCTTGCAACAAGAGTATGATATTGACTACTTGCATGTGGGTTCTGTCCTCCCCTGTGGGTGACGGGGTGACTCAGTTCTCCTCCCTTCCGAAATTGAACTAGAGAGCCCCTTGCAAGGGGTCCCCAAATGACACTTGGCATCACTTGACAAGCACACGTGACTTCAGTGCTCAACTTGCCACAGGATCAGGCATGCAGTCATGTAGGCAGGCTTGGTGTCCATCTCCCCAGTGTCTCCCCTAGGATCCACAGCCACTTACATTAACTCAACGTTGTTGTCAAAATAAAAGCCCAAGATTCAGTTTTTGTTCTAGAGAACTAGAAAGCATATCCACAAGCCTCAATTTGAGAAGCACAATTCTCAAGAATTGTTAAAGCTTTCAGTAGTTAATGGGATAGGAAGAAACATTAAGAAAACTGGGGTTGATTTTAAAAGATGAGAGGTGGGTAATTACACGCTATCAGTCAATTTCTGAGATCTACTGAAAAATTGCAGCGTGCTCTAAGGTTGCACTTGGTTCCCTGGATGTTTCTTGGCTCCTATAATATTGTCACTGCCCTCAGGAAGCTTAGATTCTAGGTGGTCAAGGAAATCATTTAACAATAATTAAGCAATTAGCAAAAAACACATAATTACTATGTGCTTTATAAAGATTTGAAGTAGAATAAAGTACAAAGCTTTAGTAAGATTCAGAAATTAGTAAGATTCAGAGTAACTAAGGGATGAACCACTAATGAGAGCATAATTTATGGTGACCTTAAAGGGTAAGTACCATTTTAGTAGGCAAAGAAGTACAGTATCGGGGAGGATGGGAAGAAGAAATCTCAAATCTGCTCCTTTGGCAGTACCAGATAGTCATCCAGGAAATAGATTCTTTAATCCTGACTGTAGCCTTATTATTATTATCCCTGTTTTCTGGAAGAGGAAACTAATGAGGATAGTGAGAATGACTAATGATATTAACTGCAAAGCCAAGCAATTACCTAAAGTCTCACATGATTCCGTGCACAACTCACTGAGAAACTCCAAGAAGCAGGAAGAGAGTCATGGGCCGAATGCCTGTGTCCCCTCCAAGTTCATATGCTAAAGCCCTTAGTGTGTTTAGGCTGCTAAAGGAAATGACCATAGACTGGGGTCCTTATAAGAAACCAATTTATTTTTCGCAGTTCTAGAGACAGGGAAGTGCAAGGTGGATTGTGTCTGACCATTCCTCACAGGTGATACCTTGTTGCTGTGTCCAATGGGGAAAGCGGACAGCCAGCTCTCTAGAGCTGCTCTAGGGTATCATCCAGAAAGGAGCAAGTCCCCCGTCCTCATGACCTGACCCTTCCTCACACCAGCACCTCAGGGGCTGACATTTCAGCAGAGGAATTTGGGAGGGGCTCAGATGTTCCCTACCCACAGGAAACTTGCACCCACAGTGTGAGATCTTTGGAGAAGTGATCAACATTAGACTAGGGCCTGAAGGTGAAGGCCGCATGAGAGGAACAGTGGCCTTATAAGAATGGAAAGAGACGCCCCTCTTTCTCTTTGTCTGCCGGTTGAGGACATGGGAGGAAGAGAGCCTTGGGCAGAGCCTTGCCAGGACCCAAGTTGGTGAGCACCTTGACCTTAACTGCCAGCCTCCAGAACTATGACCATTCCAGCGCCCAGTCTGTAGCACTCCTCCTTCGAGCAGCCTGAGCTAAGACGGAAGGACGACTTTACCTAGGTTTTGCAGGTGGCAACACTGAGGCACAGAAGATTTTTAAGAGGCGCAAGGTTTCACGGCTACTGAGTGCAGAGACAATGTTTGAATGATGCAGCTGTCTTTGCAAATACTAGAGAAGAGCAACTGCCTTGCCCTGGTGGACCTAGGAGGTCTTCCTGACCCCCTGCCCACCCATGCTCTAGCCACTGAATCGCACTTAGGAGGCAGGGTAATGGGGCTGTCTGGTGGACATGGAAGTCAGACCTGCTGGTGAAAGATAAGGCTGGAGGCCAGAGTGGGCCAGGGCGATACCGAGGAAAAGCCTGAAAGCCAGAGGGTGCTGAGTTTGCACTGGAGCCCCAGTGTTCACAAAGGTAGAGAGTCCTCACGAAAGAGATGCCGACCAGTTATCTTCTACATCCAAAAGGTAATGCAAAGAAAATAAATGAAATAAGAAATACAAGCATTTCAGTTGGACTTTGAAACAATACATAAGCAATGGATGACAAAGTACTAAGGCACTCTGTGGAAGAAATTCCAAATCGTGGACATCTAAACCAAGGGCTTTAGTAACCCACTGTCCTTTGTCTTGGTGTTGGTCAAGATGACCTTGATTACCCTTAAATTCCAATCTCTCTTGACTCTGTGTTTACTTTCTTCTTCCATAATTCATTCATCATGTGGATATTTAAGATCCCATTTTGGTAATTTTCAAAACTTAACCAAATTATTTAACTACCTTGTTCAGTTTCTTTCACCGTGTCCATGTTTGCCCGATTCCAGCCAAAGACCACCAAAACTGGACATGGAATGGAGCAAAGTGGGTTTATTAACTCCTTGCAGGCACAGACACTAAACACCATGGGGAGTTGTAGGGTGTCTCAAGAGGATATGAGGAGAAACAGAGTACATGGGCATCAGCTAGTCGGGTTGGGGGAAGATTCCAAAAAAATAGGAGTTTTGTGCTCCATTGGGTCCTATTAGTGAGAAGGCCTGATTCTGCGATTGAGTAGTCTAATAAATCTTATCTAGAAAAAGGGATGACAGAGAGAGGCTAAAGCCATGATTAGCAAAGAGACATTGGTCATTCCTATAAGCCAGGTACTTTGTGGCCTACTCGAGACATGGTGATGTCTGTGCTTAGACAAGATTGCAGAGTGGTTTCATACTCTTTCTATCCATCGCTGTCACAGAATAATCCTCTCTAACATGAGTGTCCCCTGAGATGGCTTCTGTTCAATAGGAGAACATGGCTCAGCTGGAACACAAGACCAGCTCCTGCCAGCATGAGGCCAAGCTAGTTAGCACTTAGCTGGCTCCCTATGTGGGGCTGTTATTCTCTCTTCCTTATAAACTGCATTGCTGATGTCTGGAATAAGAGCCTTAACCTCTGCCCATTACTGGCTGAATGATCGTGTGTAAATTTTTAACTCTCTCGTAGCCACATTTTGCTTGTCCACAAAATGGAATGACATTTACCTCACAGGGCTCTTGTAGGAATTAAGTGGGGGGAAAAAAGAAAAGGAACAAGCCTAGCACATAGTCATTTCTCAATAAATTACTGCAATTTTTACTATTAGGTTGAGTATTTGGAATAGCACTCAGTGTATAAGTGCTTACTTGAAAGTTTCTCTCTCTTTCCCGAAGGTAAAAATTCTAAATCTTTGTGTACATAGGAAAACTGTGCTCTGTTCAACCCTATGGTTACTGCGAATCACTCAGCAAAATGTTTATGGGGTGAACTCTCTTTCAGCACCTGCTCTCCCCTCAGCGGGCCCCAGCGAAGCTCATTCAGCTGGGAGAGGACAATCTGAACACGCTGGTGACAGAAGTGAATGAGCTTCTGGCCCGGGTAAGTGGGTGAAACTGTGACTATCTTCCAAGTAGCTAGAGCTTGAGAACTTAGTTTCTGTGGACATTAAGAACTATGACTTCAAAGTTCTGAAATACAGCTCTTGTTCTTTCTAATTTCCCATTTGGTGTGTGGAATAGATGTATTATGATTTGCTACTTCTGCTTCACATCTCGGAGTCAGGTAGCAACCCCCCCCCACCCCCCCAAAAAACCATAAACCAAGTGGTGTACTTGGGAAGTACCAAGGACAAAGACTAAAATATCAAAATAGTAATGCATTTTTGTAATTTTACACAGTAGTTTCTGTGCTAAAGGTTTTTTTTGTCAATTCTAAGTTTCAAAAGCACTGTCCTTGATTATGCAAAGAGAAAGAAAAACAAATGAAAACTCTTGTAGTCTCTTTGATCCCCTAGGACTTTAGCATTTGTATAGGAATAGTCTAAATCAGTATTCCTGCACAAAAGAGGAAACCTTCTTTGTTGTGAACATCCAAAGTATTTAAGATACCTTTTAGGGTCAGAATGTAAAATTCATGTTGTGTTTATCAGACATTTTTTAGGAATTGATAGTTGTACGGTTGTTTTTTGCTGGTAAAGAAGGAAGAAAACAGCATAAAGTCTGCCATCTTGTGGTCAAGAGATGAATGAAGAAGGAAACTGGTTTGCAAGTGGGGAACCAGTGGATTACCTAAAATTAAGCTTTAAATGACAAAGGATGCTGCAACTAGAAGGTCCTTGAAGCGAATTGTGTGCACTTTGTATTTTAAAGAAGCGTTGCCTCAGGCTATGACAGTGAAATGAACTAACAGTGGCTATTCAATTCTCTAAACTCAGGGGTCTGAGAACGACCCACCCCAGATTCCCGCTGGCCCAGTACTTTTCCATATAAACTGCTGCTGGATTAGGAAAATTTCCACAGGGAAATCAAATGGCTTCTAAGAACATAATGCTGAACAATGGCCCCGATATTACAACAGCATGCTAAACACTTTCTCAGAATCCCCAGCCAGCAATATGCAATGAAGAGATACAAAATGGCATTTCTTGCTGAATGTATTTGGACACACAATTAAATTGATGAGTGTGTGACTCTCGTATTAATTTGATATTTAATAATTTTGCAGTTGTTACTTTTACTAAATAAATGACTTTAAATGAGTCATGGCAGACTAAACTCAATTCAGTTCAATTCAATTCTATTTGTATTTTTACCCTGTACAAAGTCCAAGGTAAATGTGAGGATATGAAAAATATTAATGAGGCTTAATCTGTCTTCAAGGATCTTTCGGTCACAGAAATGTGTGTCCCTGTGTGTGTGTGTGTGTGTGTATTTATGTGTCAGCATTAAGATAATAATAGTGCTTGCTTCGGCAGCATATATACTAAAAAAAAATAGTCAACTACATGCAAATATATGATAAAACATGGAATCAAAGACCAAAAATGTACATGAGAAATATGTAAAAATTGGACAGTGTAGTCTAGTTAATCATAGGTAATTAGAAAAACAATTCCTTGAAACAAGTAGCCTTTTGTTCATTCATTTATTCCATCATTGGTAATTATTGGGTCTCCCATGTTCCAGGCCATAAGATACACTACTGATAAAAGTAAGGTAACAGGCACAACCCTGCTCTCCCAAGCTTATTGAAATGAACCATCTGAGCCTAGAGACACAAGAAATGTTTCACTGGGACTGTCGGATCTCTGTTGTGTCTTCACCCACATGCTTTCATCATTCTAGCACACACTCTCATTCGAAATTTGTAAAAAGAATTATCTTTACAGCAGCTTAAGGTTCAAAGCAAAACTGAGTGAAAAGTGCAGAGCTGTCTATTCCCTGCTCCCCTGTACCTAAAGCCGCCCCTAGTATTTACCTTCCCCTCACAGCGGTGCATCATTACTACCAGTGGACCTACAATAATACATTACATCATCCAAAGTCCATGATTTTTTGAAAGATCGACTCTTGATGTTGTATATTCTACATAAACATTTAGCAACATGCATTCGCCATCCTAGTACACTACAGAATAGTTTCACTGACCCAGAATAGTGAATCATTGCACTGCTTCACTTCTTCATCCATCCCTCATCTCAAATCCCTGACAACTTCTAATCTTTTCACTATCCCCATAGTTTGGTCTTTCCAGAATGTCATATAATTGGAATCCTTCAATCTGTAGCTTTTACAGATTGGCTCTTTTCACTTAGTAGTATACACTTAGGATTCTCTGTATTTTTTCACTGCTTAATAGCTCATTTCTTTTTGGTGCTCAATAATATTTCATCGTCTGAATGTATTATAGTTCATTCATTCACTACTGAAGAACATCTTTGTTGTTTCTGAGTTTGGGCAATACACATAAAGTAGCTTTGTGGACACCTATGCTCAGATATTTGTGTGGATATGTTTTTAACTCATTTGGGTAAATACAGCATGATTACTGGAATTGTTTTCTCATAAAAGTGTGTTTAGTTTGGTAAGAAATTGCCAAAATGTCTTCCAGTTTGGCTGCACCATTTTGCATTCTCACCAGCAAACAATGAGCGAGGGTACTGCTGCAAACCTTGCTGGCACGTCTTGGTGTTAGTGCTATGAATCTGGGGATATCTAATGGGCATTTAGGGTATCTCATTTTTGTTTTAATTTGCAATCCTTATATGACCTTCTTTCATCTACTGATTTGGCATCTGAATGTCATCTTTTGTAAATAATCTTTTTCCATATCTTAATTGGGGTGTTTTCTTATTGTTGAATTTTAAGAGTTATTGCTATATTTTGCCTAAGAGTTCTTGATCAAGGTTGTCTTTTGCAAATATTTTCTCCTACTATGTGGCCTGTCTTCTCATTCTCTTCAGATTATACTTCACTGGGCTGACACTTCTAATTTTAATTAAGTCCAGCTTATCAATTATTTATTTTATAGTTGTGCCTTTGGGGTTGTAATTCAAAACTCATCACCATGCCCAAGGCCATTGAGATTCTTTCCTAGGTAATCTTCCAGGAACTTTGTAATTTTGCATTTTACATTTAGGTCTATGATCTATTGGCAGTTAATTCCAATGTGATTTTTTTAAAGAAATCTTTCATTTTATAGTCATGTTAGATTTACAGTACAGTTACCAAAATAGGACAGTGGGTCCCCATAAATCCAATTTCTTCTACTTTTTTTAACATCTTATATTAGAATGATGCATCTGATGCATTATTGTTTACTAATGCCTACTTGATTCCAATTTCCTCGCTGTTCACCTTCTGTGAATATACTGTCTCAAGGTTCCGCCCAGGATACTATGATTCATTTAGTCATCTTGTCTTCAAGATTCTTAGACATCTTGTCTCTAGATTAGGAGAGTTTCTCAGATTAATTTTTGATGACTTTGAGAGTTTTAACAAGTTTATGTATTTTGTAGGCTGCTCACAATTGCAGTTTGTCTCAAATTTTCACATGATCAGAATAGAGTTATGTATTTCTGTGAGCCTTGAATATATAGACTGACCAATCATCAGTTTATATATGGCAAGTTACAGGGAAAGGGGAAGGGGAGTTGCCAGAGACCCCTGCAGGGGTCCTGGCCTCCTGCAAGCCAGCACAATGTCCGCGAGATAGGAAAGTGGGAATTAAACGAAACACGCAGACAGAGACTTGAGAGAAACTGAGTCTCGGACTGATCTAAGCTGCTCTGGGCAGCAAAGACAAAGGACTCCCAGGACATCCAGTGTTTATTCATCACAAGTGTGAGAAGGGGGAAGTTGGGCAGGCTTTGGGACACCTGCCGATAACAAGTATCAGGCAGGCAGGACTGCAGAATGAGGCACAAGCATATCTTTGCTGAAGAGAACAAAAGGTTAATTCAGAGGGGAGGAATTTAGCTCAAGTCTGTTGACCTTGACTGGGAGTGAACTCAGCGGAGCTCTGCTACTTCCAATGTAACACAGCCAAATTATGGAGGGGGAAGAAGCTTGTGCCACGACAGCCTGTTAATCCTGGGCAGAGGAGTCTGCTACAGCAAATGGATAAGTGAACCCCAACGAAAGAGATGATAGGGTGGAAGAAATGTGGACCAAGGACTAGACCCCAGAGAACTCCAAATTTAAAGAATGGGCAGAGGAAGGGCTTAAGAATAAAAAGCCAGAGCGTTAAGAGAAAAACAGAGAGGGGAGTTTGGCAAGAATAAAACTGGATCAGGAAGTTAAAGTAAAATTAGTAAAGGTGTCCATTGGATTTAGTGGCCACCTTGTCATTGGTTATCTCATAAAAATAGTTTCAGTAGTGGGCTTCGGGTGGAAATGCAGACCACAGTGGAAGTAGAATGAGAAGAGAGCAGCAGACCTGACTCCAAGACCCAGAGAAAGAGAGAGAGGGAGAGAAGAGAGAGACAAAGAGAGAGAGAGAGAGAGAGAGGTGTGTGGAGGTCTAAAAAGAGGAGTAGGTATAGAGGTATTAGAATTGTCATTAAAAAGCCTCTAAATATTCCATGCATATTGTAGGATATATTGAATGTTTTAAATATAGTGCTCATATTTAAGGAATTTAAAGTCCAATCAAAATACATTGAAAGATATATTTGATTTCATAATATCTTCTTAATATTTATGCATGAACCAAAACGTATGTCAAACAGTTCTTTTGAGGAAATTCTTCTTTCTGTCTAGGGATGGTAGAGAAATGATTAGATTTCTCCATTTACAAAAATGAACATAAAATATAAAAGGAATAAAGGATTGAGGGCAGCTCCTTCGCCAGCACTGCAGGATGAAATTGGCTGTGTGTCTTAACCAGTCTCAAGACTGTCACAAAGTGGCTGGACGGCTCAAAGCAAGATGCAAAGAGCATCCCCAGGACTGGCGGGATCAGTCTGAGCGCGCTGCAGAGGAAGAAGCCGTACCCACTGGGCGGCTCTGGGATCACAGAGGCTGAGGCTGACTTGTGATGCTGCCCGTCCTAATCTGTGCTCTCCGACGACTTCCTCCTCTCCACCGCTCCTGCTGCGG